CCCTCCTTCCTTCCTTCTTCCTTCTCCTTGGTTTTCATGCCACAGTCAGGCTGTTTTATGGGAAAGTGCTTTTTATTACATCTGGAGGAGGCTTCGTTGCTGTTTTACAGCAGATTTGCTGCTGTGTCCACTTCTAAATCCTGGATTCTTCCCTACTCTTAAGACCTGCTGCCTTATTATTTAACATCTTCCTGCTGCTCTCGACCCACCAGCCACGCAGACAACGTCACAGAGAGGGGGGGGAGGGAAGGAGGCTTGTATGGGGACCCCTAGGGTGGCAGAAATGGGTGCTGGCCTCCAACACTTTGGGGGCCCTTCCCACACTTGGGTTGCCCCCCCTTCTTGCTTTTGCTTTGCAGCTGGGGAGCAAGAGAAGGGGGCCCCCACCCCATGGCTGCCTCTGCCTTCTCCTGCTGCGCCTCTTGCCGTCTCCATCACAACCCCACAAGTGAGCCTGTGCTTTTCAGACGAAGGGGGAAAGGCTCATAAAAACAAATTCATTTTTTATAGGCAGCTGAGAGGGTAATCTCCTCTCTCTAGAAGCCAGTCTTGCTCCAATTTATACGTACAGCTAAAAAGGAAGCCAGCGGGGGCCGATCCTGGCGAGGCCGGCCAGCCAGCCAGGCTATAAACCCAATTAAACAGCTGCTCTTTGGGGGGGAGGGGTGACTGACCCTGAGCTCGAGGGAGGGGGACCTTTCCCAGTGGCCGCCATGGGAGAGGGGTCCCGCTCCCCCACCCCAAGCCACCATCAGTTTTGCATTAATTCCGGCAGGAAGCCAACTTCCAGAAGGATGCTTCAGCACATCTGTCAGGATTAGGCGCCAGGGCTTTTTTCCACCTGACCCTGTCTGTCAGCTGGGTTGGTCTGAAGCACCCTCCAAGATTCCCCCACCCCACGGAAAAGCCTCCCTCCCTCGGGCTGGCCCTGCTCAGAGCACCCCTCCGCCCCCCCACCCCAGCCCAGGGGTGCAGTGAGCGGCCTCTTTCGACGGAGAACGCCAGGATGAGGCCTGTCCGCTGCCTGGCCAGCCGGCTCCTCCAAAGCCAGCCTGGAGGAGCCACCCCACCTCGAGGGGGGGGAGAGGTCTCACAGCTAGCTCACCCACTTGGGGGCCCTGCGTTCATCCAGAGCAGCAGAGTTGAGGCCCCCTTGCTCAGCCACCCCCCCCCAGACAGGAGGCTGGCCCCCCTCCTCCTCCTCCTCCCCAGCCATTATTCGCTGTGCAAAACCCAAGGCTGCTCCTCCTCCTCCATCTCCCCCCCCCAAAAAACCAATTCCTTAACCCTGCTCTCCCCAAATCTGTCTGAAGAGTTATCAATACTCCTCCGTGGGGGGTGGGGGGGGAGAGCGTATTGGAGCAGCTCCCCTGAGTCTCCCGAAGACCCACAGAAGGATTAGCATGCGGTGGGGGGTGGGGGGGGAGAGCGTATTGGAGCAGCTCCCCTGAGTCTCCCGAAGACCCACAGAAGGATTCTGAGGCCGTGTGTGTGTGTGTGTGTGTGCGTGTGCGCTCGTGCGCGTGTGCGCGCGCGTGTCTCCCAGCCAAAGGCTCTGCTCTCCAGAAGGCTGCGCTTCAGCAACAGCTGTAGCCCCCCCCGCTCTGTTGCCCCCCCCCCAAGAATCCAGACTGGAGGCTCCAAGAAGATGTTTTCTACTTCCCAAGGAGTGCCTGCTGGGGGTGCAGGGGCAGCACTGCCTCTCCCCTGGGGGGGGTGGCCTTTGGGGGGGCAGCCCTGCCTGCAGCTCCACTTCAGGGCCCCCCTTGTCCAGGCCACTTGTGGGGTGGGGGGGTGGACTCTCTCCTGAGGATGATGTTTGTAGCTGGGGCAGGACCATGTACCGAAACAACGCACACGACACCCCGAGACAGTCCCTTGGCAGATTCAAAGAGAATCATGATGCTCAGAGGGAGAGGGAACTGGGAGGCGAGGGGCCGGACAGCCAGACAGGCAAGGCCGTGGGTCGGCGGGGATGCCTCCCCCCAGAGGCAAACAGCCCCCTCCCCAGGACAGCACCAACACATTGATCGCTTCACTGGGACTGGGGGGGGAACGATGTTTTCCCACCCACCCACACTGATGTGTCTTCAATGCTGCTGTTTCCCAGCATCTTTTTATCAGCGCTCTGCTCCCAGTGGCAACCAGTGCCACCATCTGCACCTCCAGCAGAAGGCTGGCTGGGTGGGCAGCTGTGATGGGGGGAGTGCCTGGCCGGCCAGCCTCCCCTTGCTCACACCATGTGGACAAGATGGAAAGGGTCTCCCTGTGGGGGTCACTCCTGTGAATCCTAACCGNCCCCCGTCTTCTCTTAATGGGTGGAGAGCCAGAGAGTCTCCTTGGAGCCACATCAGCTGCTGGTGAATAATTGATGGAGGGAAGAAGAGGCGCTGAGCCTGCGTGCCGCACGTACGGGCCTTTTTCGTGCGCAGGCAGCAGCCGCCAGAAACACTCTCTCGGTTCCCTCCGTCCTCCTCTTTGAGGAGAAAGACAGACCCACCGAGAAGCTTCTTAATGGGTGGAGAGCCAGAGAGTCTCCTTGGAGCCACATCAGCTGCTGGTGAATAATTGATGGAGGGAAGAAGAGGCGCTGAGCCTGCGTGCCGCACGTACGGGCCTTTTTCGTGCGCAGGCAGCAGCCGCCAGAAACACTCTCTCGGTTCCCTCCGTCCTCCTCTTTGAGGAGAAAGACAGACCCACCGAGAAGCTCCCGGGAATGGAGGCTCCTGGGAAGCGAAACCGAGAGGAGAAACCCTCCCAGAGAAGGCCCAAGAAAGCCAAACCAGAGGGACCTCCAGGAGGCCTCATCCAAGTGGGGAGGTGGGGAGACGTCCAGCCTCGGAAAGGAAGTGGGGAGAGGTCGGGGGAATGTGGCCAAGATGAGCCCCCCCAATGCACTGCCTGACACCCCTTGCGCTCTCCTGAGGGACATCTCCCCTCAAGCTCATCATCATCACCTCCACAATCAGCTGGAAGGGACAAATCCAGTCCTCGTTTCGGCTACCCAGTGCACTTTTCTTACTTTCGGGGAGAGCCCAAGAACCCTCCCTGACTCCCGAGGCCAAGGCTCAAGCCGGCATCCTCGTTCTGCAGAGACACGGGGTGGACCTCACGAGCCCTTGACATTTACGGCCAGCGTGAGGCCAAACAATTCAGGGTGGGCGACACTGTCCGAATGGCACCCAGATTCCTTTTGGCAGGAAAACGGGCCAGCGGCCGGCCTTTGACCCCTTGCACTGAACCAAAGGGGCAGCCGGAGGGCCGCAGGCAGAGGGCCCTGACCTCCACCACTGACCTTCTCTGCTGCTACCAAAAGGAGAACCACCTCTCCAAGTGGTTTAACAATAAATATTCTGATTTTCCCTAATTTACTTTTAATCCCGTTATACCCTCAAATTCCTCCAAATGTGATTTAAGCCTTTCTGTTGTTTCTATTGGGTTTTTAACTATTAGTAACGTGTCATCAGTAAACAAGTTTATCTTACCATTTTCTTTATGTTCTATCCCTACAATCTGTTTATCATCTCTAATTATCTGTGCCAATAATTCTATTCTCATTGTAAATAATACTGGAGATAAAGGGCAACCTTGTCTTGTACCTCGGCCTAGGTGTATTGTCTCAGTTATTCCGTCATTAACTATTAGTCTAGCTGTATTTTGTCAATATAACTGGTGAATTGTCTGCCTAAAATTAGGTCCAAAACATAAATATTTAATCAATGTCTTTAACATATCCCATTCCACTGAATCAAATGCTTTAAATATGTCTAACAATAGTTAGTCTCTTTAGCTAAATGCATTAAATTAAGTACCCTTCTCCTTAAATCTGACATTTGTCTGCCTTGTATAAATCCATTTTGGTCTTTTCAATATAACTCCCCATAAAGGTATTTAATCTCTTTGCCATTATTGCCGTGAATATCTTAGCATCTTGATTTATCAGTGATATGGATCTATATGCTTTTATATTTATTGGATTCTTATGTGGTTTTAATATTAAAATAATCAATGGCTCTTTCCATGATTGTGGGATTTATTCTCCCATTAATATCTTATTAAATAACACTTTCAACTTTGGTATAAGAATCTTTTTAAATACTTCATATTATTCTGGGTCTAATTTATCTGTTCTGGAGTTTTTTCCTGTCTTTAAGTTATTTATAAAATCCTCTATTTCTTTATCAGTAATTAACTGTTCCATTTTATTTTTATCATTATCTAACAGTTTTTTATTTAAATTGTTTTTATATAATCTTCAATTTTGATTATAGAAAGATTTTTACTAGTATATAAAGTTTTATTAAATGTTTGAAATGCTTCCAATTTCTCCTTCATTTTATTTCATCTTTTTTCATTCAAATCTTGTATTACTCCTATATTGCTTTTGTTCTTTTTTAAAGAAGACACTTTAGCTAATA